TATATATACATACAATATACATAATATATATATACATATATTTATATATACATACATACATATATACATATATACATATATACATGTATACATATATACATAAATACATGTATCCATATACATATATATATATACATATATATACATATATACATATATACATATATACATATATATATATACATATACATATATCATATATACATATATATATGCATATATATATATATGTGCATATATATATATGTATAATATATGTGTATGCATGTGCATATATATATATGCACACATGTGTATATGTAAATTATATAGATACGCATATGTTTATACATGCATATACTGCTATATAGATTGATCGTGTGGGGTCTTTAATCATACCTTTTGGGGGTCTCATTAAACCAAAGCCATATATGGTGGTAAAATCCTAACTTTCGCTGGTGAAATTCCCATGTTGCTTGGCTCAAAGAGGTTTAAGCATCGCCCTTTGGATTGCTGGTCCCGTTGAGTTTTGCCATGTTATACCCCCAAACCCATCCCCTGTCCCCAGACCCGGTCCTTGTGGGGTGACTCCTTCTTCGATGAGGTCGGAGGACGAACGGTTTGGGCCGGTTGGTTCGTCCGGGCTCCCCTGCCTTGTTTCATCAACGTTGGATGGGGTGATCAAGAAGGGTGAATGGGGATCGACACATGATAGATAGATCATATGTTCTAAAAACGTATACTATATAACATGATATAACCAACAATGTGGTCATATGACTACAGTTACAATCATAAAATCGTCAAATAATGCGGATGTGACTATGATACTGCTAACAAGGGTGTGTGAATTGAACATTTTTGAAAAAATCGGGCACACATGGCAAACATGGCAAACATCATGACAATGATCCCAATCGCACAAACGAGTTGCTTTCCGCAGACGGAGCCACTCGTTGGTTCGTGTGGCCATGGCCGTGGTGGCCCTGGTGGCCGTGGTGGCTGTGACGATTGCTGGGTTCGTTGCTGGGCCCGTTGCCAGAGAGTCGCCGCCCATGCTGGTCGTGGTGATGGTGGTGCGCGTGCTGGTTGGTAGCGTTGGTAGCGTGGGGATCTACAAAGGCCTTCCCGCACCAAAAAGCTGCGATGGAAAGGCGCTTGATTTATGGTGACTTATGATGATGAAACCCCACAAAAATGGCAAGCGATGTTGGCAAATTGTCTGGTTGGATCACAATCCAAGTTGAGAACATATGAATTTCTGATCATTTCAGACCACCGGCAGCCTCCGCCCGCAGAGATGCACGGGAAATACGCCGGTTGGTAGGTGCAGTTTTTCCTTCCTGCAGGTGGCTTCCACGAAATTCCGGTAAGCAACAGGCTCTTGGATATGGCACATAGACATGCATATGTGCATATGTGCATACATATACATATACATATACATATACATACGCGTACACATATACATATACATACACATATACATATACATACACATATACATACACTGTACATATACATTTCTGCGTGACAATGTGATATCATCTGCCAAACCTCGGGCCATTGCTGGGCCTCCATGGCAGTCTCGCGCAGCTGATCGCTATCATCAAAGGCGAAGAGGACAGCGCCATCCTTCCTACGACCCGCTCAGCGAGGGTCAGATCTTGGGGACGTAATCATCTTATGATAACCATATGATAATCATTGAAAATCATCTGATAAACATAAACTGATGTTAACTCTCTCTCTCTCCATTGTTAACTGGTGTTAACCAATGTATACTAATTTAATGTTAACTGATGTTCGCTGATTGTGACAACTTATGATCATCTTATGGTGCTCATTGATGTTCATTGATTTTCCATGTGAATGTGGGAATGTCCTGAACTATCACCTATTTGGTGATGAAAACCAGGCTGTTGCCCACCTGTTATCCGGCGTCTCAGGTAGCTGACCAATTTGCAGGTCCCGCAAGGCCTTGGGAATCC